CAAATTTAAAAATAATATTATAATTTAACTTTTTTTTATATATATAGTTATTTCCTTTGCTCATACAATCTTTATCGATGGCTGATTCCGATTTAAGATCATCGACCATTGACACATTTTATATGATTTCATTTGATGCACCTCATATAATATCTGAACATATTTCTTCATTAATACCCTCATTATTATCACTAACACAAGTGACGGATATTAATACAATGGTAAAGTAGTGCACTAATTGAATATTATATTTAAGTTATTCATATAATAATATTTTTATTGTGATTATAGAAAGTTCGTATTTCTGCCTTACAATGCCTAGGGACATTTCCAGATACAATTCCATTTGATGTTTTATATCCTTTTAAAACAAAAGTTATTAAAGAGTTAGGGAAAGCTTTAGACGATAAAAAACGATTAGTAAGAAAGGAGGCAGTTGATTGTCGTAGTAAATGGTAAGAAATATTATTTAATTTATCTTTATAATTGTTTTTCTTTTTTGTTAACCATTTCCTCTTTAATTTAATGACTAGGTTTTTGTTTACTGGACCAAAAGCTTGAATCATTAGAATGAATGATATTTAAGATTATAAAATATTATACTACTGACTCCAATTATTTATTAGTCCAGAGAGGACTCTATTTCTATGTAAAGTGATAAAGTTATCTATGTATTTCCAGCCGCCCATGTGATGATCTTTCTAATTAAATAATAATAATACATATCTTCATGCAATTTTAATAAAATGTTATCGATATCTTTATAATTATTCACAATGATTGCATTTACCAATAGTTATTATAAATGTGAAATCTTAAAAATTGACAATTTAATATAAAAATATTCTGTTAAACTTTCAGTTTAATATTATATTTGAGTGTTAGTTTAGAAAAAAACATTGATAGATCACGTGAAAATCACGGCTTAAAAACTACGTATATAGATGGCAGGATTAGCACCTACAATGATTAAATCGGACATCGATATGACTTTTCTTCCCAATGAGATTCTTCAAAAGATATTTAATTTACTTACAATAAAGTATCATAATATTGAATGTTCTAAAAGTTTATTCAATTGCCTTCTAGTTAATCGTCATTGGTGTGTCAATGCTGTAGTCATATTATGGAAAGATCCTTTTAGAAATTATGATAAAAAAAAGTCTTATAATATGATGATCACAAGTTTTCTTGTCTATCTCGACATAGAGAAACAAAAAGATCTTGAAAAAAATGGAGTAATTATTCCAAATTATGAACCAATGTTTAATTATCCGAAATATCTTTGTTGTTTGAATATTAATGGACTTAAAGGTGCAATAGTTGATAAAATAGTGATGAAAAATGAAAGGTTATCTAGTTTATTACGAAATCTTGTTATGAAATATATTTTAATAATGTTATCAAATAGAGATAATAAATTAGAATCAATTACAATTAGAATTGGTTATGGTCGTTTGGCTGTTTCAATTTCTGATATTCGAATTTTATTAAATCCAAATTTTCGGAGTTTAATCGAACCTGTTAAAAAGATGAATTTATTATTAGGATCTCCAACTGATGGATTCATACTTAAACTTTCTTCAATTTGTCAAAAATTGGTTTGTAATATTACTTTTATATATATATATTTACATGAATTAAAAAAAATAACCAGTAATTATAACAATATTTTAATTTA